CATCTCTGGGGAAATATGCTCATGATGTTCGTGGAAATCCCTTAGGAAATGACACAAAATAAAATGTCCAGTCAGATGTTGGACTGAAAATCGGAAAACTTGGCAGCGTGGAGTTGCCTCACTGAAAGCAAGCTGGATTTATTTGAATAGTACAGACCCTGGGAGAGCCATTTCAAGTCAACATTTGCAGGAATGTGTTAGGAGAACAAATGTATGAACCTGAAAATAAACAAGTGTGAGAAAAGGGATGCAAACATTGGTCAATATTTAGCTCTAGCAATGGAAGTGACCTTTTAAGACTGCAGCTTGATCTGCTTGAAAAACAGGAAAATAACCAAGGAAAAAGTTAATGCTGCTATGAGAAGAGAGAATGGAATGTTTCTACTGCAACCTAGGAAGACCAGTGAGGCTCAGGTATTGGAGAATCTCAAACCTGAAAAGCAAGTTTTGGGGCATGTGACTAGGGGTATCGTCCTGGTTAAATGCAGCAGCAGTTTCAAACTGAGTTACAACTTTATAAAAGACTATGCTAGAGTAAGTGGTTGATGGAATCAAGTTTTTAAAGAAAGAACAACTGTCAAATTGAAAATAAACATTGTGAATTTAGTAACCTTAAGTGATCTCTATCTCTGTCACCAAAAAATGGCCTAATGTAGCAGCAACGATAGCATTTTTGCCCATCACCATTTTTCATGGATATCCCTAGCACTAGATTTTGATCTCTAATACTATTCTCTACTAAAAGAGAAGACGACTCCTTGGATAGCAATTGCGTCCATGCCTTGAGACTGGAAAAAATCAGAATGGATCTGGAACACCTTGTTGGGACCTGACAACAAGAATAATTCCAAGAATATCCACATTTTTTTTTTTTTTTTAAGAGCCAACCCAAAGTGTTCCCTTTGGCCAAGTTAGGACATTTTGAGTATCAATAATAAATAATTATAGTGAATTAGAACAAAGCCAGGAGTTCATAATGATACTCAAAAGAGGAAAGTCAATGTAAAGAATAGAAAAAGATAGTTCCAATATAAACTGGTGAATATTATATGTTAATGCCTTATTGATATTAATAAGCCAGAGTATTAACATAAATATAGATTATATTCTCATTTCTGTATCTATAAACAGGAGTAAAATAAAACTAGTGAGAAGAAATTAGAAACTGAACCAAGAGTAGGAAGAATGAGCAGCACTGGTTATCTCATAATGACCTGGTAGAAGGGGAGTCCAGCAACCAACTAGCATTGGTCATGAACAACCAAAAGGAGGTCCAATAGTAGGTTTCAAGATGATACACGTCCAAATTTCCCCAAATTTGATCTGAAGTTAAATTTCAAAGAGAATGAAACACTTCGGCTGAACTCATGAGACAACATATAATTCTATGTATACCCTCAAAGCAGGTCAATATACCATAAATAAGAAGTAGATGGGGACAACCACACACGAAACTTAAAGAGCACATCATTTCCAGGAGAGATTTCAAGTCTCTAAAAATCTCTGAAATACAAAAGATGTAAGAACCTCCTGATGTAACAAAGTTTTCTTATAAAAACAAAAAAAGGACTCACTCTAAGTAAGGTGTAAGGTGTTCAAGCCTCGGAATCACATTGGCCTGTACAGCCAGATTACACACCCCCACCAAAAATTTAACAAGTTACCAAGATCCTGCAACTCATCTGGACTGAGACTCTTCAAATCTAATTAATATACTAAATGTCCAGAAAGATGTAACACTACCCAAACAGGCAACCTCAGAAGAAACAATAAATATAAGCTGTAACACTCATATCCTATTTATGTATAAACAGTATTATTGTATAATATTGTTTTCTGTGTCTTTGAGTGTTTAAAAATTTTGAAAGTATGCAATTTTAATTAAAATACGCAATTTTAATTACATGTTTAGAAGTCTGGTTAAGTTTACAATATTTAAATGTTCAGTGAATTTTCTTTTATTAATTCCATGCACTTAGATAGGTTAGTTGTATAAACAGAACTTAAGCATTTAGAGAAATGCTGTTTAATTTTTAGAGAAACATAATTAATAAATTCATAGATTAATAAGTTGGGCATTAAACAAAGTACAAATAAAAGTATTTGACTCCCTGTTGCAAAGCCCCTCTGACATTTAAAACAAAAACCCAAAAGCTAGACTGAGAGAGCTAAAAACAAATAAAAGGAAAGCCTACATTCTAAACTGTGGGAACATCAATCCTTTACTAACCTTACAGAATACCAGCAGCCAGGCATTATATCTACTCCATACGTCCCTCTCCCTATTCCTACCCCCATATTTCTCTAGAACAAGAGAGAAGAATATGAAGAAAAACTGAGAAAAGATCTCCAGATTCTGCCATTTGAAAGTCCCCTAATGTAAAGGCCGGCTCAACTATCACTACAGTGAAACTCACCAGTCAATATACCCCACCTTAATTCCAATAAACTTGTCAGTACCTTGCTTTCAAAAATTAACAGACAGATCAGAACCATTAGACAGCTGAGGAAGCCTTCCACATGAATAGCAAAAACCCAAAGGGACCTCGGGGAAACTTAAAAAATCATAAATGAGATTTTATTTCCATAAAACAAGGAAGCTATTAAGAATGAACAATTAGAAAACAAAATATTCTTGGAAATTAAAATAATGGCAAATGTAAAATCAATAAAAAGGGTTGGGAAATAGTTGAAATCTAAAAGGCAGAACAAAAACAGATGGAAAACATTAGGAGGACAAGGTAAAGATTTAATACAAGAAGTAGAAAGTCTAATAAGTTAGGAATTCCTGAATGAGAGAACCAGCGAATACAGATAGGAAGAAATTATCAAACAAATTCAAGAAAATTCCCAAGGCTCAAGGAAATGAGTCTGAGAATCAAATGGCCCATGAGGTACCCAACATAATTAAGACAGGGCAACAAGACAGAGCATGCGATATCAGACCACCCAAGATAGAGTAGATAAAGCTTCCAGAAGTAAAACAATGACATATTCTGATACTTAAGATGCTTAAAACTTTTGCTCTCACCCTTTTTTTAGGAAGCCACTAGAGGATTTCCTCAGTATTTTGAAAGTAAATTTAAAAAAGGGAAAGCCAAAAGATTTAGGAAGTAGGGAACTCCAACGAGAAGAGAAAGCCTAGGGTGATTGCAGGGGAGCCCTAGGATTACAGCTACACAATAGCCTCAAGAGCAACCAGTTCTGACTAGAGTGGATAAAGGGGTACCTGAGAGTAACTGAACAACTAACTCTACATGACTTAAACACCAGAAATCTGTTATTTCACATGATCAGAAATGCAAAGCTGACACCTACACGTATGATTTATTCAACCCCTAATGTTAAGAGTTTTGAGTTGGCTTCTCTGGAATAACTGTCTCTTCCCTCTTTGTGAAAACATGGCAGGTATAGCTGCAAACCTCACGTCCTCAGTGAGGCAAAAACCAAAGATGAGAAGTTTCTCTTCCAAGTTCTTTCCACAGAGAGAGAAGTATTACTTAGTAGTCTCATCTCAAGTCTTCTCGATTCCACTGACCAGATGTCACTTCAAGAAAAATTTATGAAAGTGGTGTCATTTTCCCTTTGTTAAAGCACAGTTGCCAAATTTTAAGTCCACAGGTCATGCATGGGCTCCACACTGATGCAGCAGATAAAGCAAACCCAAGAGCACAGATATTGAAGCCAGAATGCTTGGCTTTGTTTCCTGTCTCTACCACTTATTGTGACCTGGGTTCTGACCATACATACTTGGGAACCTCATGGGTCAAAGAGATGACTAGATCGAGGCAACATTTGGGTATTTCTGGGTTTCCTCACCCAAGTACCAATTACATGCTATCATAATACCAGGCCAATTATATCCCAACCACTAAGTTAGATTCTGAACCTAAGAATTTACTTATGGCATTTTAAGAGTAGTGGTAAAGTACAGGTTCTTATTTCCAACAAGAGAAGTAGTACTGTACAGGGAAAAGAGAAAATATCTCGGTCTTTGTCGTTTAAAAAAACGTTATTTAAAAGATACAAAATTATATACAAACTACTTATGCTCTGGGGATATACCTCATCTGAAGTGGAAAGATACTGTTTCACCTGTGTGAAGGCACAACCAAGCTCCATGTGAGTGGCCTATGTGAGTCCTTCACTGGAGACTCCACATCTGGCAGAGAGCAGGTACTCAAAACAGATTTATTCAACAAATTGATGCAAACATGCATTTATGTAGGGAACTACTGAGGTCCCTTATGGATCTGAGGAAACAAAGTCAGCATTGTAATTGGAAGGGTAATATAAGAGCGTTGTTGAGGATTTCAATAACCAAAAGAACTGTACAAAAAATAAACAAATTAACTTTATTACCATTTCGGTCCTTACACTGATTTGTTTACAAAAATATCAGTTTGAAATACATTATTGAAAGTGAGTACACACAATAAATAGAAAACAGGGAGAGATGCACCCGGTGCTGGAGACATATCAACCAACTTCATCTGTTCCCATTGTTATAGATACAATTTGACACACAATCAGCATTATTGAAAGAGCAGTCAAAATAAGTGGGAGAGGGTTGTGAACTATGAGGAAACTAGCTTAAAGCCCTGGACCACTCACCAAAAAAATATTCAGTTTATCAGAGAGCTAACCTCACTACAGCATTGAATTATCTATCTACTATTACCCATAAGAACAATTTAAAAATAAGAAAAGTGCAAGAGAACCTTCATTAACAGTATTTTTAAGTCAAAGTTTTTACTATATCTGATGATTGCTCAAATAGCATGAGGCACACCCTATGACAATAAGTTATAAATAGTCTGAATTTAATAACTTAAACGTGATATGGTTAATATAATACATACTGGGTATTTCAACTAACCTCTTTCATGTAAGGTGATAAAAGGTTTAAATTTACTGTTGCAATTTCTGCTCAGAAGAGTGATGTTAGTATTCTAGCAATAGTGGACATCTTATTATTATAAATATGCTAATGTACACATTACTTTGAATTACACTTGATTGACTTGTATGTACACATGGTTCTCTATTCCAAGTGCACATTTTCAACAGTGCAGATTTATAATCAAGCTGGGTTGAATAAATGGTTTCTGACTTCTGAAAGCAAATGATAAAAGCACGTTCTGAAAATGAATAAAGTTACAAGTAGATGACCAGTTCCAGTTCTTTTTTCCCTTTATGTGTGATGAACTTCATGAAGCATTAATTCCCGAGGTATATTTGTTTCTGGACCGTATAGCTTACATGCTCTTCTTTCAAAGGCAGCTACCATCTGCTTTACAACTTCATCAAAAAACAATGTGGCAAGCTGAGAGTGTAGAAGTGAGCGAAATTCAAAAGAAATCTGTAGGAAAATGTTAATAATTTAGAAAGATATTTTACTAAATCTTTTCTTAGTGGTATTCATACTGTGAAATGGGCTGGTTGGCCTAGTATCTAAGGCAGAGCTCTATGGGAATATCTAGATGAGATTTTTAACACCTTTCAGATGAGGGTGTCTTATTTACCGCAATAAGCACAACTGCTTGCATAATAAGCAAGTAAACAAGGCCAATAACTCTCATTTTAAGGCAAAGAGTCTGCTTTTATAAGTTAAAAAAAACTGGGAAAAAGGCTGTCCTGAACACGTTTATCACGCTGGCTTCTTACTAATGGGCCCCTTTAAGATCAATCCTACCTCCCAAAAAGAAATAAGGAAGTGATCCTTCTGATAGTTATTCCCATGAGAAGTAGCAGCAAAAAAATGAGACTGATCCACAAAACAGGGTAAGTGGGTTCAATCTTAAAGTAGACAATGATCTAGAACTTTATACCCCCTCAAGACAGAATTCAAAGGAAAGTTAGAGAAGTAGTATTTTAAGGACCAATATCCACTAACTTAAAAGTTACAAAAATAATACAAAGATTTCTCATGTATCCATCACCCAGAAAGTTAAGAGAGAGTTAATACTACTAGATAATATGCTATTATCTAATCTACACGGGCCTTATTCAAGTTTTCACAACTGTCCCATTAATGTCTACTAATATTTCAATGAAAGCAACTCAAGAGTTGACAACAGTATACAGCAATTTAATCAAAATTACGACCATTTCTTAAAATGTAATGCCTGAGTTGCAAACAGAGATAATACATATATTATCTGCTGGCAAATAAAAAGCCACAAGTGGCTTTAAGTTTTCCATAGCTAAGGTGATATGAATAAGAAACTACCTTAGTCCCTAGATTCTAAAAATATTTTTCCCCTTCACACTTTATTTCTCCATCAGAAGATGCTGACCAACATATAGATTTCATTTGCTGTTAATAACCTGTTATTAAATTAGTAGTAAAGTTATAGTGTGTGTCTTCCAATATATGGACTTATCAAAATTAGAAAACAGAGAAGGAATGACTATTCCAGGTTTCAAGAAACAGAACAGAAAAAGATTCATTAGTGTTCTCTCTTAAAAGTTAGTGCAGAAAAAGGCATTCAATATTCAAAAATTTGAGATTTTTAAAAATTGTCTTTCAGTAATCACTGTGCATGTAAAATTATTAATTATGATACCTGGTTTCTATTAAGTAGATTATTTTTTCTTTACCAACTTTACTTGATATTTGGAATAAATCATGGACTTTATGAAAGACTTACTGAAAAATCCAAAGTACAAGTTCTTGGGTAGCCAGGAAGACCTGGACTAAAACGCCAAACAGTCTCCAAATGATTGAAAAGCTTCCCATCGGTACAGGATGCCTAGAACAAAATGAAAAAATAAAACCACAGTAAAATACGATTTGGACTGTCCAGTAACTACAATTGAGGATGACTTCTTTAAAGTAAATATTTTTATAGGTCAGACCATAGGTGATGAAAACATCTCATTTTTAGTTTGGTATTAGGAAGTGACCTCTTGCCAATATAAGCCATTTTCTTTTCTCCTGGGATCCTCAAGAGTGCCAGCTCTTCTCTCTTCCACTGCTATCACCCACTATGCTACTTAGAGTCATCTCCTCCAGCAGCAAAACAGTGATTTTCTAGAAGTTTATTTCCAGCTCTGCCACTTATAAGTGATCCTGAACAAGTTAATTTCCTGTACCATATTTCCTTAGTTTGTAAAGTGAGTATAATACCTATTTTAGGTATCTGGAGCAGATCCCCACCACAATTCTATAATTCTTCCTTCCTACTCAAAGATTTTTCTCCTATCAGTCATTTCCTCTACTCATTATTCTTTATTTCTAGAGGCCTCTATAGTTTGTTTTTATAGAACAAGAGAGAAGAACCTTGTGCCTGACCCCGACCCTTGTGCCTGACCCATTACTTCCGAACCTCTAATCTCTTCAGAGCTCATGTTTATGTGTGTGAACATGTGAAATACAATACTTAGTGATACTATTTGCAGTGCATCTTAATATTTCCCACACTATATTATTAAAAAAAATGCTGACCCATTAGTTACCCTCTGAAGTATGAAAAATTGTAGCCAGAACCATAGTCATTAGTCTACTGTTAGAATGGGTTATCGCCATGAATAAAGTTCAGCTTCTTTATTTATTAACCTAATATGCTATCTGGGCCTTATTATACTACTAGACAACTGACCTTAAGAATACATATCACTTTCCCTCAGCAGCAGACGATTTTTAAAATTTGTTTCAAAGTCTACACCCGCTTCCTCAATTAAGCCTTAAGTTTTTCAGTTCTTTTGGCATATCCTGGGGCCAATAAACGATCAAGCCTCTCTATCTCTTTTTTCTTTGATAATTTATTCTCTCAAGAGTTTACACTGTCCCTCCTCTGAGGCCATACACTACAGATTAACGAAATAAGGACTTGCATAGGAAAACTCATTTTCCCCAAAGTAAACAGTCATTCTTTCGTCCCCAGCAATAGCCTCCCTAACTACAGAATTTCTCTGACTATATCTGGATCTCTCCATAGATAGTTCAAACTGGGAGCTAAAGAGTTAAAAAAAAATCTCTTTGCCATTTATTCCTCACTTCCTCTTAAACTAAACTCTTTTGAATCAATTATCAAGGTAACATGCTAGAATCATTACAAAGACCAACAGCATCCATACTATAACAATCATTTATAAAGAAATGCTCTGTCTATGGCCATGCCACCTGAACAAGCCCGATCCCATCTGATCTCGGAAGCTAAGCAGGGTCGGGCCTAGTTAGTATTGGATGGGAAACCATCTAGGAAGACCAGGTGCTGTAGGCATAAAAAAAAATAATTTTAAAAATGGAAACCAGGGAATGTCTTAAAATTTATTTAGACACGGTAAAAAAAAAATAGTCACCTAAATACTCACTACTTTAATAGTTGAATTTAGTCATATTATGCTAAGTCACTAGGGTGAAGTGAAAATTTTCTTCAGAGTTTGGCTTCATATATAGTTCAATAATGGCCATCTAATTTTTAAGAGCATCCAAAGTCTATAATAAAATCTTACTATTTCAGTTATCCAACTTTAAGATAATACATTCTACCCTTTACAATCACATAAGAAATTTATAGGAAATTTAACAATGGAGAAATAACTGCTAGGAATACTCAATTCAATATACACCTTCCTCTGACTCTTTTCACAAAATGCGGCAATGCTGTACTCATACCGATAATCTAGCCCAAGGACCCACAGATTTTCACTAGTACATTTTGATAGGGACAATACTGCCAAAGATCTCATTCCTAACAGCAGAGATACTGACCACAGTAGAGGTGTTATGATGATGACCTACAACTGGTTGTTCTGACTGAACTGACTCTGACTACACAAACTATGCCATGTAAAATGTTTATGTTGTGAACTAGGCAGTAAGATTCACTGAACTGTTGCCTCTATTAAATCTGCTGAAAATTTTCAAGGGCTTCTGGACATTACAGATTTATGTCAACTAGAAATAACTGACACATTTAGTCACAGGCACTTTTGGGACAACTGGTAATCCACAGAAAATGTCACATGGCTTCTGCTCCTCCCTCGGTTAAGGATTTTTATTGTATGTTCCATATGTGTATTGGGTATTAAAATCCAGAACCTGAACCCAGAGACAACTGAAAACTGAGCATATATAGCTGTTATTCTCAAATATATCTTTAAGCAATAAATTAGCATATTAAGTGAGGCAGCTTATTTTAATGGAGAAATAATTTTGGAATCGGACACATAGTGTGAATTTATATAAAGTTCTTACTTTCCCTAAATCTCATACAATCAAGATAGCAATGCCCATCTAAGAAATGTTATTATGAAGGCTTTTTTTCTAATATAGCTTCCTCCCTCTTCGGCTGTGTTGAAAGTTCTTGAGATTATGAACATCTCTGGATCTGCACACAGCAGGGAGATCTTCATAAGCAAAGAGCCGTCATGACTCTTGCCACTGTTGTATTGGTGCTAAGAATACAGAGATGAAAAAGAGGATCTCCTATTCCCTCAGGTAGCTCAATCTTGTCAAGGAGAAATACAGTTGAAGAAATAATATTACAGTGTTAAAAGATAAATAAGAGCATGTATGAAGCCCAGAGGAATCACTGAGGTGGGACTGATTATCTATATAAAAGGAAAGGGAAAAAGCAACACCAGACATCTGGAATTTGAAGGATTAATAGGCAAGGAGTTAAGTTCATTACAGGTAGAAGAGTGAACAATATGCAAAGGCACAGGCTATGGAGTAAGTACTGTATGGTGCATTCATGGAACTTTAAGATGTATGGTACTGCCTGAACATTAAGTGTAGTGTGTGTTAGGGATTAATGGGCCCATTTCTGTATGTGTTAAGAAGCCAGGGAAAGGAAAAAAGCCAGGGAAAGAAAACAAAATTTTTTTAGAGTTCTTTTAGTTAGACACCTCATAATATTTTAAGGTTTTAGTTATAAGAGTTTGAATGGTAGGAGATTGAGGTCAGAGAATGGAAAAATGTTAAGATTATAGTATCTGAAAAACTAAGCTAGAGTCTTGGCTATGTAACCTTGGGCAAGTTATCTAACTCTTCTTTAGTTTGCTCAACTATGAGATAGAGAGTAACATTTGAATCTCAACAGGCTGCTGTGAAGATTAAACGAGTAATTCAAGTAAAGCACTAGAAATAACTCAATAAATAGCTATTTAAATTATAGCTATTATAAGAGAGACTGTGCCATACAGTAGGTAAAAACTCGAAAACTATGAGGCAATCAGCTGAAAACATTCATAATGGCAGAGTCTCACATTAGGATGCAGCCTTTCAAGAGGAGGTGAAGTTCTGAGAGTGTGACTAGGGTGGACTCCAAGCTCTTAGTTTCACTGGACAGTATTTTCTTTCTGGTGTGAGAGTTGCACTTCCTTCAGTGCCCGACAAAGAGCTGACAAAAGCATTTAGCTCTAGCCAATTACCAAGAAATAATATCACCACTAAATCCTGTGGGCACAAAACACAACTCAGCTTTAGAAATCTTCAGTCACCACACTCTAGGAATTCAAAAGAAATGAGTATTAATCTATGGAATTATGCCTTTTTGTGTACTGAAGTTTGGATACATTTTCTAAGTGTACCCTCCTCTGATAAGGGTAAGGTGACTGATACAATGCATGTAACAGTACCTGGCATTTCAATACCTGGTACATGGCAGGACAACCTCAATAATGTTTATGCTCTCCATACTTTTATTTTTTCTACCTTTCTTTATCCTCTCACAACTTCCCCCTCCTTAATCTTAAAAAAAATAGTGCAAAGATGAACTTAAAACATTTCTCACTGTGTGGTCCAATCTTTCCTGTGGGTCACTAGTCTTCAATAGAAGGAAAAAAGAAAAAACTTCTCACTTCCATGTGCTAATCAAATTTATTGAAAAGAATGTTAATATTGTATAAAATGAAACACTTATGGAAAATAAATGTTTTTTTTTCCCTCCTCGTTTTAGGGAAATCTTTTTAAGCTATTATAACACATTTGACATAATATTTGGGAAATATTTAAAAACAGAAAACAAATCTTACCTTTACCAAGTGTGGTCTCACCATGGTTACTACTGATGTATAGTGCTCCAATATAGGTGGAAACCCAATTTCTAATCGTGTTTTGCAGTATCCAGATCTCTTTGATATTATATCTGATTTTTTGCACCAAGGAACAAAATGCTTGTAATCCTCCATTCCTGATACGACATCATACATTTCTTGCATAAAGTATCTATTTTTTTTTTTTAAAAAAGGAGAGGTGTTAACTGTATTTAGTTATATGGTTTATGTATACTTTAAATTAAATATAAGTAAAACCTGTTGTATATGAAGCAATAATTCATTCGGGACACATGTTGAACAGCATTCTGGAATGAATGACTTCAAGGCAACACAGAAAATAAGACAGCTACATACACATATACAGCGGAGGTCATAATTTGGCAGATCACAAGTTGCATCTGGCCTGCAGATGTGGTTTTTACAATTTTAATTATTGGCCAGCATTTAAAAATTGCGAGATTAAAATTAAAAACTGGAAGAAACTCAAATGTTTATCAGTTGGCAGACATTAATGAATGCTTACTATAATAAGATTAATAAATTTATGGTACAGCCACACTATGGAACTCTTTATCAGATATATATTTTATCAAATGTATATTTTAGAGTAAAGATGTTTATGAAATAGTTATCTAAAAATAGCATATTACAAAGCAGGAAAAATTGTAAGTATTGTATTTTCTGAGTTTTAAACATTTGCTGTTTATTTTTCCTAAAAATAATTATTATGTTAATAGAATGTTTGTAATGAAAACACATTTAAAAACTCCTGGAAGAGGCCCCAGGTGCGCCAGGCCCCCCAAGTGCACCGGGTGCATGTCGTGAGCGCATGAGAGGAGACGCCCTGCTTTCAGATATCTAGTTCTTAAGGGGAGACAGCAACATGCATAGGTCAGGGGTAGAAGCTGGGGGCGGAATTAAAGAGGGGGGAAAAAAAGTCCTGGAAGGATATAGATTAAACAATTAACAGCTGTTAACTCAGAAAAAAGAAGTAGGAGTAAAGATAGAATTTTTTAGTATATATACTTCTATACTGTTATGTTTTTATACAAGCATGTAATATTTTTGTAATTTAAAAAAAGAAATTATTCTAGAATACAAAGAAAAAAAACCTCAATATTTTCGTAAGCCAGCATAACGTCATAACAACCTAAATTTGACAAAGAACATAAAAAATAAACTCTATAGGCCAATATCACCTTTGAGTATTGAGGCAAAAATTCGAAGTAAAATATCGGCAAATACAATCCAGAAATATGTTAAAAAAATACAACCAACTGTAACTCATTTAAAGGCGTATGGATGATTTACTATTAAGAATTATATTATTATAATCATATTAGCCAAAAGACGGTAAAATAACAAAAGCAGTCCCATCAGAGTTTGAAATAAGATCAAGATGGTGGCTATCATTGTTATGTAAATGTTGTTCTGAAAGTATTAGTCAAAGTAATTAAATAAGAACATAAAATATGAGGCATCTGAATGGAAAAGAATTAGGTAAAATTATCAGTTGGCAGGTAATATGACTATCAATTAAGAAGAGAATCAATTCAGAATTCAGTAAGGTAGCCTGTTACAAAATATATAAAAATTAAATATCTTTCCTATACTAAGAACCAGTTAGCAAACCGTGCAAAATATCTAGAAATAAAGTCAACAAAAAAACTAAAGGGCTTAAATGAAAAAACAAACAATAGTAACACTGTAGGCATACATGTAAAAGATAACCTGAATAATAAGAGCCAAATATATATTATTCTTTGTTATAAGACTCAATATTAAAATGTAATTCATCTCAAAAATGATTTAGACAACCATAATCTAAATTACAAAAAGGCATTTTTTTAACATGACAGAATAAGTCTTTATATATGTTTAAATTAATCTTTATAATCATGAAATGAGGCCCACAACAGAAGGAGTGGGAGAAAAACCTACCCTCCCCAGGTGTTCAGACACTTTTTCAGTCCCATGAAAAAGTTTGAACCTTGTAACCTGGAAGCTAATTGCCATAATAGTCGTCTACGAAGATTAAGAAAGTAGTATAGCATAGTAGTCAAGGGGATAGACTTTGCAATCAGAAAAGACTGTGTTCAAATATCAACTCTAAAACACAGTAAGGCATGTGACCCTGGGTACATTACTTAACTTCTCCACTCCACTTTCTTCATCCATAATTGAAAAATACTCCTATAGCGTTCTTTTGAAGGTTAAATAAAAGTTTCAGCATGGTATACAATGCTTAATAAACACTTAAGTGGTAGCTTTGTTGTGTGTTTATGTCAAATAGGGGGAAGAAAAAATAAGATAATAGATAAGACTAATTTGTAATAAAAAGAACTTTGGCATAAGAATAAGGAAGCAAGTAAGAATATAATGTTAATATATAATTATAGTCACTCAACGAACATATATAAAACAGTGAAGGCTACGGAAAGGCCAACCTAGGAAAACCAGAGCTTAGTCTGCAAGAACAGAATCCAGAAAAAAAGCATGATACTCTACAGAAAATTGTGAATGTGCTCTTTTAGGAGAACTAACATTATATACAAACCCTATAATTCTCCTCTCTGAATATTCTTTTCTTTTGTTTATTAATGGTGCAGCAATTTTGAAGAAAGTTCTTGCATACATCTCCTTAGGCAAAATTGAGGTATGTGGTGGAAGAATTCTGCTCATCAGTATACCACAGGAAGCTAAATATCTAAAAAGACAAAAATTACTTTATTTAGGATGATAGTGAAAATTAAAAGGAAGTACAAATTATAAAAAATTGTAAACACAAATTATTGATTGCAAACACAAATTGTACAGATTGTAAATTAACTATCACACTTTAGAAGGCTTTGCAACTTTACAATATTCATGAAACACACACACAAACAAGCTTCTTAAGCGCCCTAGAGAAAACTAAAAATAACACCTTACAGTTAGGGTTAGAAGCTTCTGGCACAAAAGAAATCTTTCCCAAAAAGTTGGCTTTCAGTCTATAGTCATGTGTTACAATATATTCTTGCCATACACTTGCTAGAATATTCACACCTCAAATACTAGAGTACATAAATACTTCACAAAAATGTTAAATATATATTATAATTACTTATATTACCTACTAATAATTATAATAAAGGTCGGAATCTATGTTAATGCTTCTGCCTTGCAATTAACTCATAAATTCCCTCCTTCTTCATTATCCTAAACAGTAGATATTTATCTCGGAATTAAAGCCTTCATTATATTACTAAAGGAATCATACTTGTCTTTTCAAAAGTAACAATTTTGTATATTTGCAAGCCAACATTTTATAAGAGTAATACAAGCAGATGTGAAGCACTATAGGGTATATTCTGCTTGGAACTACTTTTCCGGGTTATTTCCTAAAGCAAGAGTAAACGATATGAGATGATTATATTTCAGTTTCAACCAATACTTGCCTAAAAGGATGAGGTGGCTGTCTTGCTGGCATTTAAAATTTTTTTCGTAGAATCTAAATATCCTGGAGCTCAAACAGATTTGTGCTTTTTCCCTCCATCCCATAACGTTTGCAACTGATTTCATTTTAAACACTAACATTAATTTTCCAGCATAATTTATCGCAACGTCATTAGTAAAAGGAAACTAAATAGTGGAAGTATGGAATTCTTCATGTCTCAACGTCCATCTCCACCCCCACCCACCAAAAAGAAACAAACCAGGAAAATCGAAGGCAGACTCTGGTTCAAGGTTACAGGACCTGTAAGTTTGAAGAAAAAAAATCCAAGTGCCCACGTCCACTAAGTATAGTTTTGTAAGAACCAAAGGGCGAGGGCAAAGACCAGTACCAGAAACTGGGAAAGCATGTCTGGCCATCTGCGTAAGCGGCACAAAAGAGGGTCTACCGCCAAGCCACATTCTCAGCAGCCCGCAACCTTGCTCACAAAGTTAAAACTTTAACCAAAGGCACTGGTTTCGGAGTTGCTTCTAAAGTGGCTTGGCCGATTCCCCGCCTCTCGCGAGGGCAGTGAGGCAAACATAGACGGGGCGGCTGGGATAGGCAGCCAAGTCTCTGGTCCTGTGTAGTAAGGGCAGCGCCTGAGTCCCTCAAATGCTGAACTTGGGAGACCCTTCCCCTCCAGAGACTCAAAAACAATCTGTGTCCGGCTCCGCCTCACCTAATATACCCCGGGTGTCCTCCCTTAGCAAGCCGGGGCGGAAAACTACCCACGTTGCTTCTTACCGGACGTTCCGCGCGGTCCCCTGCGCTGAAATTGGTACTCCAGCTGCTGCGGTCAAATTTGGACGACATCTCGAGACCGAAACTAATTTTTTCAGGGCACTCTGACCGGTCCGAGCTGCCATTATAGCCTCACTGAAGCCGGTCGCCACCTCCGGGATCAAACCCACGGCACCGCCCGTCTTCGGCGGGGCCCCGGTGCCTTTCAGCCAATCAGCAGGCCCCCTGAGCTGCTAGACACGCCCCTTCCTGCCCAAGTGCAGAAAGCTGACGTACATTCCCACCACCGTAGGGCCGAGTGTAAACGAGCTGGTCATCCTGCTCGCCAATCAGAGGGAGCGCTAGGCTTTCTTGACACGCCCCCTCCCCTGGACGGCCTCTGGTTCTCGTCGCGCGCTGCGGCGCCTTACGTAAAACTCACGGTGAGCGCTCACCCCCACCTCCCGCTCTGGAACTGGTCCTGGAATTCGCCAACTGCCGCCGTTTTCTTAGGTGCTGCTTTTCTGTCGCGAGGCCTGGCACATGAGCGCAGCCCTGGGGCGAGAGGAAGTCGGATGTTCTCTTTGTTAATTATGTAACTGTCCAAACCGGTGAGTGCTGAGCCGGACCCGCCATCGCTCCTGGCTGTGAAGTCCGGCAGTCAGTCTTGCTGTTAATGATTGTCTAATACAGTATCTACGTTGCTCTCTCCGTGGGGTTGTGAGGGCAGCATAAGGTTGCCCTCACGTCCTTTGGGAATAGACTTGGTTCTATCTGCTTTCTTCCTGTGTGGCCAATGTTTTAATTGGTGTTCCAGTAGTTGGTATAGTTTGGGTTTCCCTTATTCCGTACAAACCAGACGACTTTGCTTTGATTCACCTATTTCAGGAATCAAAGTCCTGACATTTTCTCATCCTTTTGTTCCTAGGTCCTTATTTAACCTTTGTACTTAATAGTTCCCTGTAAAAGAAATAGCAGTACTACCTACTGCATACAGTTTTGAGGAGTAAATGAAACTGTTGATTAAATGTAGTCAACATATATTTCGGGGGCACTTAGTCTTTGTCGTTTTAGGTGCTGGATAAGTGAACAAAGTCTGCCGTCACAGAGCTTATATTCTAGTGGGGGAAATCAATTAGTATATAATATTAGATAATCATGTGCTGTAGAAAAAAAGTAAAGCAGGTAAGGAGTTGAAAAGGGGTGAGGTGAGGTACTATTTTATATAGGGTGGGTAGTCAGGTGGGCCTCTGACCAAGTGATACTGAATAAAGGCCAGAATGAACTGAGGAAGTGAATTCTGTGAATATTTGTGGGGAAAGTTACTTCAGGCAGAGGGAACATTAAGTGCAAAGGCCCCAGACAGGGACAACCTTGCCCAGTTTTATGAAGAGCAAGGGCTTTGGATCACAGTGAGCAAGGAAGAGAGTGGTAGCAAATGAGATCAGAGGTAGTGAGGACTTTATCAGAGCGCCTGGGAGGTCCTGGAACTAACTTTGGATTTCATTCCAGGTGTGAAGGAAATTATTCTAGGTTAAGGGTAGAATAGTGACTCCATCTGATTTACATTTGCAGAAATATTCCAGCTGTTGTGTATATGTATGATCGTTATTTTCTACTCTTGCTTTGTTCATTTCAGGCATCCTGTACTAGATGCTTTGTGGAGTGTGTTGAAATCCTGGGCTACAAAGTTTGTAAAAACACTTTTCAGTATAATATAGGGTGTATTTGTCAAGTCATGTGGTTTTGTAGCTACATCCAAACAATTCTATATCAGATTACCTTCAAATTCACAATCCTTTATTTTCTTAAAGCTTAAATATTTCCAGTAATGTCATCTTTTAGAACAAATTTTCATTATATAACAATCCTACTAAAAAAAACAATGAATACCAATGCCTACAAAATACAGATATTATACTGCCACCTCCTACTAAGTTTTATTTTAAACTATTAATGTTAACTAGTAGGCCTGCTAGACATATTTTTCAGTACAATACATGGTGTACTTATGTACTTGATATAAGGCCTTCTTTTATTAAATTCAAACATTTCTCATTCAACTCATCCCAGACATATGAAAATACCTATTGAATTGGGGCACCCAATTGAATAGTTCCCCAATTAAAAAAAAAAAAAAGTAAAGGCAAATAAAGGAATCTTTGTAATAGATGACAGTGTATGGTACTCATTTGACTTCTCAGCAAAGGAAAAGAATAATGTAAGCTTAAAGGTGATAAACTCTGATCTAATTTCGATAGATGATAGTGTGTCCATAAACCAAGGGTTTAAAGTTCGGTTTATACGCTATGAAAAGATTAGTAGTAAATTAAAACTCAACACAGACCTGTAGGAAGCAGTATCTTAGAGTTAAAACCTATGCTGTTAGAAATATATTTGATACGACATCACATATTAAATATTTTTGCCCAAATAATTGAATCTGAATTTGGTCAAGCTTTTAGATATGCTAAATTACATATAGAATAGAACATGTTAAATGACACCAAGGGGATATAATCTGCCAAATACAGAATATAAGAAATTCTATAAGACAGGTGATCCAATTTCTTAAATAAATGTCAAGTAAAGAAGGAGGAAGGGAGGTACTATTGTAGATTTAAAATATTTGAGGCATTATTTGGATTTTGTTTTGAACAAACAATATAAAAAGACATATATAAGCCTGGGAAATTTGACTGAAATCTCTACTTCAGTGGACATTCATACATTTTACAGGTGAAATATGTCTATAGTTTGCTTTAAAGTAATTCCGTGGGGGTGGAGGAATAAAGTGGATGAAACGAAATGGATCATTTGTCGATAATTATTGAACTAGATGGTGAGTACATGGAGAGCTTATAATAGTATATTTCATTTTTGTGAATGTTTAAAAAATTACATAATAAAACTATATATATGAATATACATATACTGCCTGATATGCGATCTTTCCAAATGAAATCCTCTTCATTGGTTTCCACTTAGAATCATACTTTGACCTTTCATTCACTTCAGAACCCTGAATGTAGACTGAACCAGAAAGTCTAGGTAAATAGCGGTGGCTATGACTTTGTGTTAATATTGTTTTTAATCAACCCTCCAGTCAAAACAAATATAGGATGAATTTTAACTACAGAACAAGACTTTTACCTAAATATTATATTTTTTTCCTGAAATAAAGCAAGTTTTTAATTTAACATAATCTCATGACTGTCACTTTTTTGATTAATAATCTTCCTAGCATGCTCAATGATTTCTTACAGGGGTTATCTTTGTGAAATGTTTAGTTGAAAGAACACCTTCCTTGACTGAATTAGGAACTGAGTTATAAGAGATTAGTGCTATTACAGATGTTAGTTTCTGATAAAAATCAGACTATCAAAGAGGATTAACTAGACAGTTTGTCCTTATTGACTGGCTTTGTAAATCAGAGACCAGACATGAAAATTATTCTGTTTTTTTTTAAACAGGAAATTTAATATAAGGATTTGTTAAACAGGGATTGGAGAAGTACAGTGACAAAAAAGGGATAGTGAGATAAGAAAGTAATAGTAACATCAGTAAAGGGAAAAGGAGCATATGAGATGTCTTGGGGGAAACCAGGTATAAACTTCAAGGATTCTTTACCAGTGAAGTCATAGAATCACACAGGACATGCTTAATTCTTCTGACATGTTTCTACTGTCTTCTTTTTGGTGTGAACATTATTTCTTTAGTCAGTTTGTATATAATGTGGGTTTCAGATCTTGGGTTCTCCCCTACAAGTACTACATTTTGTTGAGATTACTATAAAAAGTGCTTTTGTTGCATTAGCAGGTTCTATTGACATTTGGGATGTAGTTGGTTTAGGTCAAGACATGTGCCCTCACTTAAAGCCGTTAGTTACTCTCTTACTGTCACCTCACCTCATTTAAATTAAGTCCATTTCCCTTTCACTCATATTTTTTCCCTTTACCCCTTTTAGTTATGGGATTATTTTTCTTAACAGAAAAGAAACAAATGAATTGAGTGCTCTTTGTTTTCTGTTATGTCGAACCATCTACTTAAAGCAACAGAACTGGTTTCATTATTCTTGCTCCAAACAAAAGCCTTTTTATTTTCCCTAGCATTTTATCATAAGCCTCAGTTCACTGAATGTTGTCTTTCTTACACTGTTCTTATACATTTCTGCCACTTTTAAATTTCTTTTTTCCACTTGAGAAAATTTTATTTTACTTTTTTTTATAAGTTATAAAGTTTACAACCTGCTAAACATTTTACCCAAATGTGGGAAAACTGACTGGAGACGCAAAGCAAAATAAAATACCTGAAAATAACAAATAGACACAACCATTAAAACAGTTATTTTAGCTGACAGCACTTAAAATTGGTAATTTGTATATTTTTAAAAGGTTGCAGGGCTTTAAAAAAAGTTGCATAGCTGCAAGACAATTCATTGTTGATTAACTGTTTTATTTAAGAGGAAACAATATATTTAATAAAATGCAGTTCAATAGATAATCCTAGATTTAATTAATTAAAATATAATTATGTGACTTGGTTTATTCTTTGGGCTGCATTCTAATATTGTTAAACCTTTAAAGATATTAACATATTTTAGCTTATGTACAAGTCTATTTTCTACTCTTAAGGAAAAGAAATAGAACTTGAGATCATGGTCTGTATTCAGAGAATGTTTTACTGCCTGATTATATTTATTGGTTTCACATTTAAGACTTTAATTTGTAAGAAGTATATTATGTGGTCTTCAACTTAAGAATAGATGAATGCAGAAATGCCATGTTGGAGAAAATAAAGAGATCTCAAACTAAAAAACAAATCAAAACACAACTAGTTGTACAGCTTTAGAAAACTTAATAGTAAATCAACTTTTAAATCAGTCAACTTTGGTGTCTGAATACAAAATATTTATCAGTGTTACCTATGTAGATAACTACTATTAAGGGATATGCAGAATTTTCAAAATCTCCATGAGTCCTTTATATGCATGTTTGGTATACTGAGTTCTGTGGTAATTGCCCTCTGGTCAGCAGGATATTTTTCCCTGATTGCCCATTTCTGTATCTCTAAGTCTCAAAGAACTCAGATTTCTGGCTGAGTATGCCTTCATTTTTGTTTTTATGTTGCCAGAGACAGATCCTCATACCTTCTTGGTTTTTTCATCTTCAAAAGACAAGAAACCCTATAAAACAAATCTGTGCTTAATCTGAAGGGTGCTCAGGGCAAGATCTACTTCAAACCATTCATCAATGCAGTCTTTATGGTATATGTATAGACAAGGCAGTCATGCCATATCATCTCCTTGCCACACTCCTTCGAGGCATATTGCACATTCCCCAGCATCTTTACTCAGTACACCCTTAGATTACCAGTTTATTATAAAAGAATATAGCTCAGGAACAGCTTGATGGAAGAAATGCTTAGGGCAAGGTATGTGGGAAGGGGCTCAGAGCTTCCAAGTTCTCGGAGTGTGCCACTCTCCCCAATTTCCATGTTCACCAGCCCAGAACTTCCTGATTCGTTTTTCTTGTATAGGCTTCCTTTCATCTTTTGTGCTTTTATTAAAATCTGATTTTTAGCAGGAAGCTTATTATTTATTCATATTAGC